GATTTCCAGATAGTGGACAATCCTACCAACCAGGTGCGGTACAAGGGCCTCTGTGAGCATGGGTTATACACACTTCCTTCCAAACTCCCAACCGTTGCGTATCAAGCTATCCAAGAGTCCACTTGGCATCGTAGACTCGGTCATCCAGCTCCTGCGATTGCCAAATCTATTTTGTCTTCCTTAGGTTTTCAGTTTTCAGAGCCTTTACATTGTGAATCATGTTATGTCTCTAAGTCCTGTCGTTTACCTTTTGAATTGTCTGAACATAAGGCCACAGCGCCCTTTCAATTAATACATTCTGATGTTTGGGGTCCCACCTCTGTTCCTTCCTGTAGCGGTTTTCGATTTTATATCTCTTTTGTTGATGATTTCAGCAAATTTACCTGGATTTATCCCCTAAAACATAAATCTGAAGCTTACTCTGTTTTTGTGAATTTTGAAAAAATGATTAAAACTCAGTTTAATTCTCACATCAAAATTTTTCGAAGTGATAATGGCAAACAATTTGTAAATAACGCTTTTGGCCTTTTCCTTCAAACTTTAGGAGTCCTTCATCACACCTCTTGTCCCTACACTCCTGATCAAAATGGGGTCGCTGAACGGAAACACCGTCATCTCATTGAAACAGTTGTTTCTCTTCTATACGACTCTGCTCTCCCGACTACCTTTTGGGTCGAAGCTCTTGCCACAGCAAACTATCTTATCAACCGTATGCCCACCAAAACTCTCTCCAACAAATCTCCCTTTGAAACGCTTTATAACCGTCCTCCTACATATACCCACCTTCGTGCCTTTGGTTGCTTGGTCTATCCATGGCTCCGCCCTTACACTCACCACAAACTTCAACCACGCTCCACTCCTTGTGTCTTCTTAGGATATCACCCCACCACTAAAGGGTATAAATGCTATGAACCCGTGTCTCAAAAAGTTTGTCTCTCGTCATGTTCGGTTCGTCGAGGATCAGTTTCCATATCCCAAATTGTCATCCCTCCCGTCACCCTCTCCTATAACCCCTATTTTCCTCCAAGCCCAGGCTCACATGCTCCTGTCCCACTGACGGTCCAACCCCAGACCCGTCCCACCAGTCACGGACGACAGCCCGACACCCTCCCTATGGACACGCCACAGACGGTCCAACCCTAGAACCGTACCCCAACCCACCCTCGACCGTCACTTACTCCTCTCCAAAACACACAACCGGTTAACCGACCCCCGCCCCAAAACACACACACCATGCAAACCCGAGCCAAATCTGGAATTTTCAAACCTAAAGCCTATACCATTACCACCCTTGATACTACCCCACCTACCACTGAGCCTAGCACTTACCGCCAAGCCTCTGGTAATAGTTTTTGGTGTCAGGCTATGGATGAGGAGTTTATTGCTTTGAATGAGCAACGTACATGGGACTTGGTTCCACCACCCAAGAACCGCACTCCGATTGGTTGCAAATGGGTGTATCGCATTAAACGGAATGCTGATGGATCTGTTTCAAGGTATAAGGCTCGTCTTGTCGCAAAAGGTTATCATCAGGAGTATGACATTGATTACAAGGAGACATTCAGTC